GCCCTGTCCAGGATTGAGTTTCCTGGTACCTGGCTTTGAACCGGTCCTGTGCGGACGTACCCGGCCTCAACGTCGGCCTGGGTCCGAACAGGTAGAAATCTATTCGAAAACAAAAGAAAAAGTCCAAACGTTTTTAGGAGCTCAGCCTCTGGGCCTGAATCTGGCCCTGGTGCTAAAACGTGTACCTGGCCACAAAACGGACAACAGTACAACTGTTAGAAAAACAGCAGCCAATAAATAAATAAAAGAATATAAAAATAATCTAGAGCTGGCGTTTTTCTGATGCAGGCCCAAGTAAAAACCATAGGGCCTTCAGGTTGCGGTGACCCGACCTGGGGGCCCTATTCCAACCTCGGGTCCCGTGAGGGGCCCGTGTGTAGGCTTTCAGCATGTAACACAGAGGCAGGAGTCACAAACCAAAGTCAGAAGCCATGTGCCACAATCGAAAAGTCGTCACTCACAGGACCAATCAGCAGCACACCAATGAAAATTTGGGAAAGGTACCAGGCCCTGATATATTCGGAAGCAAACAGGTTGTAGGGATGTGGTACCGGAACCAAGTCAAAGCAGAGGCTGGCACGAGTTGAAGCTCGGTTCAAGACAATATATGGACTGGCCAGCCTCCTCATTCGGCAGATTGCTCATTCACATGAAGTGTAGAAGTGCTGATGCACTTGTGCGCTCTTGTGAGGGGCAAAGCGCTGAGCCAGGGAGCTGTGCTAGTAGATGGAGAGGAAGGGGGCAGCCATAGTTGCCCAGCATTGGCAGAGGGAAGGCAGGCATAGCTGCGCCAGTGCCTAGTGGTTAGTGGTAGACTTCAGAGGGGTTAGTAGAGTTAGCAGTGGGTGTATTCAGAGTTGGTCCTTGAGTAGTAGAGATTGTGAGTGCATGTAAGTAGGGGGAGAAGACACAGGGAGGTAGTAGACAGAGAGAAGACTCAGAGAGGAGAGAGAAGAGCAATGAAAGAGATACTTACCTGAATGAAGATACTGGTTACTTGGATCTGTGTTGTTGAGCGCTGGTGACTGGAACTCTTAATTGCTTGTATGATAATTTGTTGGAATTCTAAAGCTGAGCTTACCTGGTCTTCGTCTCTCTGACCTCCAGTGTGAACTCCGTGCAATCGCATCTGTGCATGGTGTGTGATTGTGTGCACTCATTGGTGGTGAACTGGGAGGTTCATTACAAACTGGTATCAGAGCTGCATGAGCCTGCATCCACTGCCTATAGCTGGCAACGATTAAGGCTGGCGAGAGAGAGAGAGAGAGTAGTGAGTGGGGATAAGTCTGACAAAAGTGGGGGAAGGTAGGCCGAAGAAGAAGAGGCTAGCTGGGTTGGTAGTTACATACCTGCTGCGTTGGAGCGTTGGAGCGATCATGGAGCTTCATCAACGGAACGTTCACTGAAGTGAAGTGCATCCCCCACCTAAGCCCTGCATTGCTTGCTGGAGTGTCATGGTGATTGGTACCTTCCACATCCTGGTGTCGCTGCTGCTGGGCTGGTCCAAGTCTTGTGACACAGTCAATTTGCTTTGAGTCTAGCAACCAGTCAGCATCGAGAAAAAATATATATATATTGTCACAGAACTATTGACTAAGAACATAAGCACGTGAAGTAGAAGAAGAAATAAGATGAGCGAAGAAAAGAAAAATGAAAGGACAGACAGGCAAAGAGACAGACAAACCATATATATCGTCAAATAAAACTGCCCGGTAAACCGTAGGCAGAGAGGGAGAAGAGGACAACAGATGAGGGGCTGTGACAAACTGTTTCGTCGGAGTTTCACCGACTCACAAACCATATATGAGTCGGTGAAACTCCGACGAAACAGTTTGTCACAGCCCCTCGTTTGTTGTCCTCTTCTCCCTCTCTGCCTACGGTTTACCGGGCAGTTCTATTTGACGATATATATATACACATATATACCGTCACAAACAGAACTACAAACTAAATATATATATATATATATATATATATATATATATATTTGACGATATATATATATATATATTCTATTTGACGATATATATATATATATAGTTTTGAGAAGAAGCAGGCAGCAGGCACTGTGAGAAGGATATTCGGCAGTCGGTGAAAGTCAGACCCACTCAAGAGTTAGTAATTAGTGGTAGGGGTCAGGTCTAAGTGGTGGGGAGGTGAGGGAACTTACCTGTGCAATGACTTGCTGTTTTTCTGGTCACCTGTAGCCTCTCTCTGTCGAGGCTGTACTATAGGTAGGACAGATTCGCAATTTTGTTTGGCTGAGGGCTAACCGAGAGACCTACCTGTGAGGGCAATTCGTGAGGGACATATCTGCAAATCCGGGAAAATACAGGCCCGGTACTAACAGGATTCCCTACGGCTACCCTAACTGAAAGTAGCAGGCCCGGGCTACCCCTAGGACAGACAGGCCCTAAAGGCCTATTCTGATAGACGGTCCTATAGCCTATAGCCGGGTCCAGTAGATGCCGAGAGGCCGAAACAGATACGGTACCGGTCGGTCAGTCAGTCCGGTCTAGGTCGAGTCTAGGCTAGTTGTAGTCAATAGATAGGACGGGCACATCGGTTCAGGGCTTTTGGCAGTTGGTACCGAGTACATCGCTGCTGTGCCACGCGTGAACCGGAAGTGGTGACAGCTTAGCGTGGAAGGAGACAGGCATAGCCAGACCTTCGGAGCGCCGGCCATAGCTGGAACCTGCGCTGTACTCTGCCAGCACGCAGGGCCTGACAGGCGAGAGAGATTGGTGCCCTGCTGGACCCTCCTCCGGAGTGGGGTTCCAGGGGTGTGGTGCTGCAGCCATAGCTGCAGCTTTCTTCCTCAGAGGTCATCTTGTCAGGGTTTGGTGGTGCTGATACAGACTTCCACCGGGAAGTCTGCCGACACTTCGTCATCATCAGATACTATGGCGCTGGTCTTCTTCTTCATCCTCTGAGTGGCGCTTGGCCTCAGAAGCCTGTTTCAGGGTGGCGCTTCCCTCAGGAGGCTGTATCTGGGTGGCGCTGGATGTTTCAGGGGCTCAGGGGTGTTACGGGTGTTACTCAGGGTTG